TTTCATAGATAATAAAACGGTGTAAAATGATTTTAATAAAACATTTAATTAATCTTAAAATTTAAAAGCACTAATTAATTATGATGGGTGAGGTTGGTCAATATTAATTTTTTTTTATCAAATTTGTTTTAACAAATCAAAAATTTATAATGTGTATAATAATCAATTTAAAATTATTTTAATTAATATATTATATTATTTAATTTTTTCTACTATATTGTTTGTATTACTTAACATATTATATTATTAAATATTTATTTTAATTATATTATAAAATATTATAATTGACTAATTTTGGTATTTTACATACTTATTAGCTAGTTTTATCAAACATGATTCACACACCAGATAATTAATCAACTATCAATAAACTTATTAAATTTAACACTATGCAAAAGTTATGGGCGCATTCGGTTTGTAAAATAAAAATCAAGGAGTAGCAGCCAAGGAAACACCCATGTGACTGACGTCGTCCCCATCTCGATTCATCTTTACATTTATATACTTATTAATAAATAAAACTAAATGTTACATTTTTTGTAAAACTAAATGTTACATTTTTTAAACGAGTAGATTTACCATAAAACTTGCTATTAAAAATATATAACATTTGAATCGATATATAGTTTCATAAAAGTTTTTAACTAATAATCAACTCTTAGGAAAAATATTCGTATGGTGGCGGTGCAAGTATACGTCAACACTATGATCGTTTGCAAGTAATAAAGTGATAAAATACCGAAATTGTTTCTACAAGGATTGAACTACTGAGAATCAAAGACTTTCATGAACTTCTTGAGCATGTTTCGGTTTGTGAATAAAAATTGGATTTTGTTGGTAAAAAACTTTAAAAATACAAAATAAACTTATAAAATAAAAGATGAGCATAAGTGTAAGAATTTCTTAAGATAAAAACACAATATAATAGTTAGAAACTTATGAGATGTTTGTAAATATTTCAATCTCTCGAAGGTGAAGATTTATAAACAGATTGCATAAAATTCTCACTCTCACCACTCCAAAACTTGTTGATTTAGCTAAACAGAAGAATAAATAAAATCATACTCAAATCTCTTTGTAATATGAATCTCCAATGCTTAATCATTAGCTACATACATACAAATTCACACTTTTACGTAATTATCAAAGACTCTCTCGAGTTCTTTGTACATCGTTTAAGCCGTATTTTGAATTCGTCTATCTCTGGGTCAAAGATCTAATATTAACACTTCAAAATGATCGGCTTATCTACGTTGAGTTTAAGTCCCGTCTTAAGTGACCAAGTTTACGAAGTAGTAAAGAATAAAAACACCCAAATATTGTATAAAAATTCTAAGTTAACTCACACCCACACCCATATGGATAATTAGCTCATAAGAGATATAGGAAACATAATATAAGACAAGAAATAAAACTGAAACGTAACTTTCATTAAAATAGAACAAAAAACTGCAGCCCACAATGGTGAGACTGTGGGCAGCAGATTACAATTAATAAGAAAATTACATGTTAAAACTTAACTTAAGAGAGAAAGAGAAGAGAGACTTAAGCTAGTAAAGCTTCAAAGGGATGATCTTCAAAGTGAACACAATGCCTCTTTATATAGGGGATGAATGGATAAGGATGAAACATATTATGCAAGGGAAATTAAGCACATAAAAACCTTGTGGCAAAGAGTCAAAAACCACCCAACAATCTTTTAAAACCCAAAATACAACTTTACAAAGCAATTCCAACTGTAGAAGATCTTTAAGAAAACATCACAAATTTGAAACCTATCAAAAATTCGTGAATTTCCCACAGTGATGACATTGTAGGCAGTTGCCAGAAAATACAGGTTTTCGGAATAATTTATCATCCTTTGTGTTTCATCATATTCTTTTAAAACTTTGGAATAAACAAGAAAAAACAAGAAAATTGAGTATTTAATAAATATAAAAACGGAAAAAATAAATAATAAATAATTCTAAAAAATAAGAGTTATCAGTCTTGTAAAAATAATGTATTATATTTATGTTTATGTTAATAATATTTACTTAATATTTCCAACATATATAAATTAATGATTATAGTAAAAAAGGGTTTTAATAAAAATATTATAAACAATTATGATGTTTAATATATAAAATGTTGTAAAAATTATGTTCACAAAAGAATAGCTCTTTTTCAAAATACATTCCAACCAACAACAATTATCTGGTAAGTGTTTATCGGTAAAATTTAACACTACTATTTACTAGAATTTAATCCACCAAAAAGATGTCGTATGCAATAATTTACACAGTAAGCACTTACCGTGGTAAGAGTCGTCGCCCTCACTTACTGGATAAAACTCTTGGTTCTTGTCTCGCTCTTACCTAGTAAGATTCTTGATCATTACCATATTCATCCGGTAATATAACATGATTTGGTAAACACTTACCCGAATAAGCGTTTAATAAACGACCCCTTAGTTTCCTAAATAAGTTTTAGCAAGAAAATCAAATAAATAAGTAAACAATTTGCTATTAAGAAAATTGGATAGCAAGAATCGGATACGGACCAGGCCGCTTGAATGGGCTGGGCTGGGAACAACTAATGTGGGCTTGATATCTGGGCCAGATGCACTACAAATAGAATACAATAATACATTACCTCTTAAAAACAAAAACAGAAGTAATATTATGGATTTTGAAACCTGAATATAATATTAAAAATACAATTCTATTGGTTCTTTTTAAGGTTGGAAATGGATATTGTTTTCTTGCGATCTTGACTAGAACTCCTAATTATGAAAAGAAGTGTTTCTACAAGCATACCAACCACCAATCCAAGGATGCCTCCAGCAGCAGTCTGAAAATAAATCATTACCACCTTGTTAGCAGCTTAACGAGACTCATAATTCTGTTTGACAGTGGTTTAATGATATAGAAAGTGGGTTATTCAGTAAACTTATAGGAAAAGCTTTACATATATAAAGCCAAGTTTTTCTCCTCCCAATTAAAAAACACGTCCCTACCTTCTAAGAAACAATCCTCTTAAACAAAAACATTCTTAATTTATACAGACAAATTAATCCATACAAATAGTTTTATCCATACATGACTTAATGAAAAACCAACCAAACAGTCTATTAGTAAAATTGAATTTGATTAAAAAAAGAAATTGAATTTTTACTTGTAATAATAATATCAGCATTGCTTGTATGTATAATAACAAAGAAGAATGCATAGATGTAGACAAATCGTACCATTACTGGACTGTGACCAAACAATGCTCGGAACGTAAAATGTCCAAGTAAGTAGCCTGTAAACATCGTTAGCGCAACATGTAAACCTGCCAAAGTTGGAATCCTTGTGTTAGATCAAAGCTTATTATGAATGTAGAAACACCATCAACATTCATTGGTAGAGTAAGATACAAACAAAAAGTAGAGTCACAGCCATTGCCTTATATTACAGTTTATAAAAGACTAAAGAGTGGGTTCTGGTGACCAGCTATGAAGGTACAAAAACACAATCAACATTCGTAGGAATCAAAGGTCTTTTTAGTGGATCTCTCCCAATCCATATCATGTTAAATGGCTTTACATTTAACAACTTCCATTTTAGATGGATTGAAGCAGGCCTGTCCATTATACCATTAACATAAGCTATGACACCTTCAACCAGATTCAAAAGATGGAAAACTTAGGAATCAAAATCACAAAAACAATCAAAAGACTCAGAACCCTAATTCTTTACTTTAAAAAGATTAAAGAATTGAAACTCACCAAATCCCAACTGATCTTTGTATGAAGAAAAAGGCTCACTTTCAGTCTTTCTGGTGATGTCCTTCACTAGCTCCTTATATGCCTTCCTCTCAGCCACCTCCTCTAATTTCTTGAGTCTTGCTTTCAACTCCTCACTCTTCAAGTATATAACAATACAAATTGCAAAATTCAATTACAAAATCACACCGAACTTCTAACAGGCACTATGGAATGGATAAGGGTTTGTGATCAATGTGCAGTAAAAATTAACTTTTTGGATAGCAAGATCGACGATTGATTACCTTTTCGCGAGGTTGGGGACTGTTGAGGATGAACTGCGATCCGGAAAGAAGGGTCGATAGGGCGGGTCGGGAAGACGGATCGGAGGCGACCCATATGGAGCGGAGAGGCTTGTAGGGTACGGAAGGGGATTGGAGGGAGAGGGATGAAGCGATTTGACGGAGTTCTGAGGAAAGGTGAGGATCGTCGGAGGATGTGGAGATGAATGATTGGATCGTTTCTGTTTTCGAGATGATCAGACCGCCGGCGGCGGTGATGGCCTTTGAAGGAAGCTCGTGGTTGTTCATGGTGTGACTTGGAGATTGGGATCGGTAGTGATGGAGTTTTAAAGGATAGTCTGATACTCTGATTTGAAGACGAGAGAAGGTTTCTTGATTGGAGGGGCCGCCCCCCTCTATATCAAAAAGGAAAAAGAAAAAGAAAGACGATCCTTATTTGAATAAATAGAAATATTAATGGGTGTATTTTGAAAAATAAGTCGAGTTACAAAAGAAGTACCTAAGTATACTATAGGATTATTGCTAAACCACCCCCCATATTTCAAAATTTGCAACAATTGCATCCATTCTGTAAAGTACTCTTCATTTATTTATTATTAGATGACGTATGTTTACCAATGGCAACGGGCCGGGTATTGGTATTTCCGTCCCCGAAACCGATAGCTAAAACCGTCCCCGTAACCGTCCCGATCTCCGTCGGGTCCCCGCGGTTTCCCCGATCCTCGTTGGGGAACCCGTTAAGGGTAAAAATTCTCTTTTTCATCGTTGGTTATAACCGAACCCGAAACCGATATGAAAAAAATTACAATATGTTAATTTTCATAATTAAAAGTAAATTACAATTTTTTTAAAGATCTAAGTTTAAATGTCTCAAACATAATTGAACCAATTACAAACAATGTATTAGATTACAATATAAAACTAAACAAAAATTCGAACATCATACAACTAAAATCATGGTTTTTAACAAATAAACTAGACTTTTCGTGAGCTTTTATTTGGGTTGTTGAGATAAAGTAGATAATTTTTTTTAAAATTTTAATGTTACTTTTTTTAAAGATATTTTATATATATATATATATATATATATATATATATATATAGACTTGTGATCATGTGAGACCAATGATTTTTCGTGAGACCCGTAAGACCAATTCTCAACCCTTGGATTAGATCTACAATATGACAATCTAAACATTCATAAATGCCACGAGACTTCTCAATAATCACAAAATTGCCACCATACAATTTAGACCATTAGATCATCAGCTTATAAAGTTGATCAATGAATATAAATTGGTCTTACGGGTCTCACGAAAAACCCTTGATCTCACGTGAACCCAACCCTATATATATATGTATGTATATAAATTAAAATAAATAATATATATATATATATATATGTACATATCGGGCCGGCTGGGCCGGTGATCACCGTCCCCGCCCCCGTCCCTGTTAAAATCCCCAAATTTGTCCCCGATCCCCTTCCCGTCCCCGATAAAATGTCCCCGAACCCGGCCCGAAAGTTTCGGTTTTCACCGTCGGTTTCGGTTTTTTTTTGCCATCCCTACGTATGTTTGGTTGTTTGACCATAATTTTTCATCTTTTAGATTTGAGGGGTCAAAGTAAACAAAAACAAAACATCAGGGACCAAATAGTATTAAACCATAAAGATTAACATAACTGGTTGGGAACCCTGCGCTTCATTGATTATAGAGCTTCTCTTTCGAGTCCTTTCTCAATCCGTCCATGGGAAATGACTGTATACTTGTAAAATTTCCGTAAATTCGCGTAATCCACCTCCCAAAATCAATTATTTTTCGATTTGGTTTAGGTCTTCATGCATCATGTAACTACTTAATCAGATTATAAACTGATTTCATCGGGTAATTTCCCCTTTTTCCCCATGTCGTAACTGCTCTTAGTTCATTAAATTAACTTTTATCTTCGGGAGTTTGGCATCAAATCGATTTGCTTAAGAGACAAATTTGTGTTGTTGTTGGATTTCCTTTTCTTTGTAGCTGTGTTTGTTTGTAATCTGTATGGATTTGTTGTTCTTATGTCGTTATATAGTCAAATTGCTGCAATAACTCTTTGTTATGTGTAGAATCTGAAACTTCTGAGCTGTATAACATCTTCGTTTTCAGTTTTCTTTCGTTATTCAACTTGTTTGCTCTAATTATAGATCATCAAACAATTTACACCTGTCCTTTTTGATAAAGAGCAAGGACTTGATTTTGGGTGTGTTTCATGAAACTGTAATTCTCACATATAATCCCAAGTCGCCTAGGGTTTTGGCCTTCCAGTTCCTTTAATCAAGAAATCTTGAGGGATTTGGCTGTATCCAGAATGGATTATGGTCGAGAAAGTGGAAATAATGTTGTTCAAATAATAACAGGAGGGATTCCAAGAAATGGAATCGATAACTGGGGCGATCAAGCCGTTTGGGCAACAGAAGATGAATATGGTATTTGGGATAGGGAAGCATCTGTTGATATTACTTCAAATTCTAATCACAATGGGAGGCAATCCCAAATTAGATCTGGCAATGCGCAGTTAGGGGATGTACAGGCTACTAGTCGATCGAAGGCGATTGGAAAAATGTTTTTTAAGACGAAATTGTGTTGCAAATTCAGGGCAGGGACTTGTCCGTATATAACGAATTGCAATTTTGCACATAGCATTGAAGAACTCAGAAGACCTCCGCCGAATTGGCAGGAAATTGTGGCTGCTCATGAAGAAGAAAGAGGTGTTTCGTCTCAGCTGAGAGAAGAATATCAAATTCCATCACTTGGATCGTCTAGCTTCACAGTAGACAGTCAGAGATCTTCAAAAGGGAGACATTGTAAGAAATTCTTCACTGAAGAGGGGTGTCCGTATGGTGATAATTGCACTTTTCTTCATGATGAGCAATCAAGAACTCGAGAAAGTGTAGCAATTAGTTTGGGTCCGGGATCTGGTGGTGGATATGGTGGTGGAGGAGGAGGAGGAGGAGGAGCAAGCGGCGATGGAGGAGGAGGTGGTGGAGGAACGGTAGCGGCAGCTGCTGCTTCTGCAACAGCATCCAATCCCACCATAAAGCCTTCAAATTGGAAAACAAGGATCTGTAATAAATGGGAGCAAACGGGATATTGCCCATTTGGTAGCAAGTGCCATTTTGCTCATGGAGCCACAGGTATGGTTCGATTTCATTTAAATCCATTTGGAAATATCTTAAAATTGCAAATAAATTGCCTCTTCCATTTTGATCCATCTTGAACTAAGCTTGTAGCAACCATGGTGTGTATGTTTGCTAGTATTAGTTACTATACGCAGCGCTAATACCCGCTTTTGGTTTTAGAGTGGCGTGTGTGGATGCATATATATATGTGTGTGTGTGTGTGTATACATGGATATAATTCATAGGTTATGAAAAAGGCATATGACGACTTTACGAATAGGTCATGCCAAAATTTAGGTAGAAATGCTGATATATTGAAAGTATGGTGTTATAGAATGTGGGTGCTTTTATATGTATGTGCATACATGATACAATTTATACCCAGCAAGTGAAGGAAATAATTTAGTTGCACAACTTTGTTGGCCAAAAGTTGGAACATCATGGTTACCAATTCTTGATCATTGTATCTGTTACCATGCTATTACAACGGTCAAAAGTGATGAACTCACTCACAATTGAAACAGCACGAATGTCTTAACCGAGCGTCAACAATAGACCATCAAGCATACAAAACACCATTGAAAATAAATTTAAAATTTTACCCATCAATTGACTAATGAATGATGAACCAACTAACAATTATAAGAAAAAAGAACAACTACTCAACTCTGAGGAGAAGAGGGCCCGAGAAGTAAAAACCAAGAAAATAGTTGAGTTCTAGAGTGCAGGACAAATAGCAGTCAAATAGCGCCACTCTTAGCGGCACCGCGATTTCCCCGCTATTTTGCCCCTATTATGTCGATGACCGTGGACCGTGATGCCATTGCTATAGCGGTGCGATTAACAACATAGATTTGTACGGTCAAGGTTTTACAGAACGGAAACGAGCCTCGAGCCATTTTCCTCCTAGGTACTTGAAGCATAACCCCCAAAAATTAAAACAACAAAATTCATAATCCCAAATAAGCAAAATATAAAGCCCATAATTCAATAAAACTACTTGTTATAACTTACAAGTCTTAGAAACATCAACCGAACTAATTAGTTCTAGTCACAAGATCGTGAAATGTGATCAATTTGAGAAGCACCCGACCTACCACCCAACAATGTATCTGACTCATTATGAGCTTTATCGTAGGACTTATCCAAATTTACGAGTTCTAAACAAGTGTTTTTCTGAATCTATCCATAATCTTGATTACTTGTATCGTTAGCTTATAGTGATCGAGGTTGAGGAAGAAGCTCATGATAATTGTGGACTTTAATGATCTTATATGGTGTGGAGTAATCTCCTGAGGGTTGGTTTGGTCCATCAACCATTTGGTATATCTCTCAGAGTGACATCAGCTACTCCATGTTGTGGGGATATCGAGGCCCGTCTATGTAGATGCCTTTGTGCTGTCAACACTGTCAACACTACAACAAAATCGGCTTTATAGGATGCCAAATATGTTTAAATGTCTTAATAGACTACTTTATAGGACTCGAGTTTATAGGACCAAACAAATGTGCATCCTATGTCAAAGTCTTACAATAAGTTGATAGGACGCTTTGAGGCGTCCTAATATAATCTTGAAATCAAACCTCATATTTATCTTTTACATGACATTATTTGGAAAAACGTCTTATAAAAACAAGTGTCCTATAAGAATATGTGTTCATATGACATTTCTCAAAGGTGTCTTGTAAAATAGATAACATGAAAGTTCAAGTGTCCTAATAATTTTTGTCTCACTTTTATACACAATTGTTGGGTCCTATAAGCTTAAGTTTTATAAAGCAGTCTGTTAGGACATTTAGATATATTTAACGTCCTATAAAGCCAATTTTAGTGTAGTGCGGGAAATGATTTCTGTAAGAGTATAGTTGAGTGAGTTTGATACGGAAATTGTTCTGGATACATTATTTCTTTTAAGGTATCATAGTCTCTTCTAACAATTCATATCCTATTTGACATGATTTGGGTACATCTTATGATCGTGATATTATAGTCGTTATTGTTGATGTATATACCGAAATTAATGGTTCTTTTGGCAGAACTGCATCGATATGGTGGTGGGCTTGTCGACACAGATGCTAAAGATTATGTTTCTCCTTTGGACTTGAATAAGCCAGGAATCATGCCTTCAAAACCTCCTGCTGATATCATAGTAGCCTCTTCCCCATCATCTGCCCATACTGATGGTTACCATGTCGGAGCTCCGTCTCAGAGGCTTCCCGGTGTCATCCCTAGGACCGGGCAGAGACCGTTTCAGAAATGGAAGGGACCCGATAAAATTAGCCGTATTTACGGGGACTGGATTGATGACATCGAATAGGCATGCCTTACAATGTTAGTTCTCGTTTCACAAACTTTACTCAAATCCATCTACCCTTTTGGGCATATACTAGATTTCTTCCATATAAATTATGTTGTTGAAAAGCTTCAATTTTTCTCGTCTGTAATCGTAATCATGAATCGAACCATCTCTATTCAGTTCCCACTTTTTTAGATTGGATGGACAATGAATGTATTAAGTCAAATAGATCAATTTATGTTTGTTTTGAATATACATGGAACCCCTAGATCACTCTCCAAAAGAGCATAGTGGAGAAAGGAGAGGTTCCATAATATATATGGGGGAAATGGTTCAAGTCTAGCTCATGTGGAACTCCAATAAGTTTTATGCCATGTTGGGTTTTGACTTGGGCCTTCGATATATGTCGACACGACAGTACTCTCCTTAATCGTTCTTTTAAACTTTAAAGGGCAATATGATGGGTTTTCATATATTCTTACATTGATCCGCTGCCGAACTTATTCCAATATAGCTCGGATCGAATCGGTATTGCTATCCGACCTGAACCAAAGAATCCATTAGGTATGATGCAAAATGGATCTTGTTCCATAAAGGATATAATTGACAACTCGAAGTTGTAGATTATCACTTTCCTGCAAGAGATCCGGCGGGAAAAGTTTTCCTAAATTTAAGGGACTTTGGGAGAATCTGTACTCGTCTAGTTCTCTTTAGACACTAAAGAACATTTTATGTTTGTCTAGCCACCAACCTTCCATTGGAAGGGGCATGTTGGAATCCATATCGGCTAGACTCGAAAATGAGAACACCTTTAGTTTATGAAAATTGAAAACGCAAGAACACCCTTATCACATGTGATTTTACATGTCAGAGGACCTGGTGGTGTGCGGCTGACGGCTCCTGCGACCTAGGTCACGTCAAAGATGTTTTTCTCTCTGATTTAATATCACATGTGATGGATTATAATATCACATCAAGATCACTCTTGTTACATGTGAGGGGCCCTAGTGTTGTATAGGCGATTTGACCCACGACCTAGATCGTGTTATAGGTTGTGCATCTATGATTTAATATGACATGTCATTGACTATTGTAAAAAAGTGTTCTTGTATTCTTGTAAAAATAAGATGTTTTTGTTTGAACTCATTACCTATATATATATATATATAGGGGGAAGATCAAATGTTAACCAACAACTTTGTGTTAACTTTGAAAACCATGACAACCAATCAAATTTCATTCTTCTTGTAGGTTTATGTCATGTTCACATTTTAATTACAAGGGTATTTCAGTAAATTTATTTGATATGTAACTCCCAAACAATTAATAGGGAGTTACAAATCATCAAATCCCAAAAGATATGCATTGATAATATTAATATTTTTATTTTTTTTAATCTTGATCTTCCATGTTTATTGTTTTATCAGTTTTTAATTCGTATAGAAAACACGGCAGTAAAAATTTTCGGTATCGATCAAGCTAATATGAATAAACGCAATGGAAAACAAATCGACAACAATTATAAGATTAAAATGGTTTATAATGACAATCGGAGTTCGAGGTCGGGAATTGAAGAAATTAACAAAAGTGAATGTCTTGGTAATAGATTTTTATTTTTTTTAGATTCGTTTTAATCGAAATTATATTCATTACGATGTGTTGTGTTTTTTATAACTCGTCTTATATTGATAGCTTTTTTCTTTAATTATTAAAATACGTACCTAATTCACATGTTCAAATGGAAATACATGCAAGACCCATTTTCATATTGCCATATTACCAACTTTTATGAATCATGAACCATTGTGTTCATGTTACTTCTATCATATGAACACAAATGTTATTCTTAAGCTTGATACTAAATCTTTATATTTGTGTAAGTGTTTGCACCCGGTGTTCATAGCGTTGKGGTTATGTGTTCATATATTTTATACGATATGAACAAGAGGTGAACACGATATGAACAAGAGGTGAACACGATATGAACAGGGGGTGAACAACCATATAAGATCAGAAACATATATAAACAAGAGGTGAACCTTAAACGGTGTGGATGCAATGCATGTATAAAACTCTAATTGACAAAGTATCACTCTTGAATGCGTTTATAATGAAGGAACTATTGTTCACAAGCTGTTCATATCGTGTTCATACCTGTTTTATTTATTTATTTCCTTTCGTATARCAGTTATTCWTATTATGTCCATATTGTGTTCATAAATGCTATGCAGTCCAAGTTCATATATATGTCAAATTTTTGTTCGTATTTGACACAATGATTTATATATATATATATATATATATATATATATATATATATATATAGTTGTGTTCATATGGTTCTTACATTAACAAAAAAATCATAGAATTTTTTATTTTGTAACTCTCAATTAATTAATGATATGGGAGTTATATTTTTTTTTACCTAAATACCCTTTTCAACATTGTTCACTTATCTTTATGCAATTTTAAATTAAAAAAAATAAGTTTTTATCATGATTAATTACAACCGTTTATTGAAAGATTGAATAGCCAAGATCGGTTAACAAAGTTAACACAAAAACTTTGGTTAACATTTGATCTTACCCCTATATATATATATATATATATATATGCAGTAAATTAAATGCAAACCTTCTAAATGTTACCAATCTGACAAACCAGTATTTATGAAAATGATAAAGATTCATTTATTATGATTTAAATAATTATAAAAGATAATTAAAATTCATTAATTATGATCAACAATCTATATCAAAAAACAATCAAATATACTCATGAAATTAGATATTCATCATACTAGATGGACGATTGAAATTGAGTTGTAAGTTTTCAATGGTTTGTATTTAATTATTACTCTCTATATATTGGAATCCTTCGTTTAACGACTATTTTGATGGGTTATACATATTGTCACACTTCAAATAATTATTTATTTTTTGTTGCAAATTAGTATAATTTTGACAAAAAGTCAAAGTATGGAAAAATGTTGACCCCAAATTATATCAATGGTCGGTGAAGTTGATTTCACAAATAGAATGAATCGTTCAATGCGCCAGGCCCCAAGTTATACCAAAAACCAACAAATGCCTGCCTACGTCATCAACTTTCAAAATAGTGAATACGCCGGAATTTTTGATCTCCGGCCGAGTTTCCAACCAAGTTGCAGGCCATCGGGAAATGTCGACAAACCCCACGCATGCCCCACCGCCTACGATACCTTACACCTCTCCTCCCATCACCGTCATTCTAACCATCATCCTCCTCCTCTTCTTCTTCATCGGCTTTTTCTCCATTTACTTTTGCAGGTGTTTCATGCATAACTTATTTTACTCCTGGCATCTCCGCCACAACCCCTCTAGGGCCGGCCCTGCCGCCGGCATCGGAGGGGACAGTGTTTCCCCTGGACTTGACCCTTTGATCATAAGTTCCTTCCCTACCTTCACCTATTCAAGTGTCAAAGAATTCCGGCGAGAAAAGTACGGTTTAGAATGTGCTATATGTTTGTCGGAGTTCAAGGATGACAGCCTTCTTCGCCTTCTAACCAAATGCTTTCATGTCTTCCATCAAGAGTGCATTGATCTCTGGCTCGAGTCGCATAAATCGTGCCCGTGTTGTCGTTGTAGTCTCGACACGCCGATTAATTCCCCCGAAAAATCTCCAGTTTCGGTTGACACCCCGTCTGTGCATGAAAATCATGATTCCGTGGGAGATTCGGTCAACATCGACGTTAAAGAGAACGACGAGAATGAAGAGAAAGAGAAGGAGAAAGAGAAAGACGAAAACAAGAAGGAGAAGCATGTGGTCATTGATGTGGATCCCGACAGAGAAGGAGATAACGAGAGAACCGAAGGATTCATGAGGTGTAAGTCGACCGGGCATTCGATCATTAAGAATAACAAAGGATGTGAAAACGACGATAAATTTACGTTAAGACTGCCACAAGACGTGCGAGTGAGACTGATTCCGAGACATAATTGGACAAGAAGTTGTACCGAATTCGGACAATATAAAAGCAAAACTTCGTCTAGCAAAGATGAGGTATCGCTAAACAGAGACGGACATAATGCATAGGATAGAATTTGTTAGATCGTACGTTATATCATCATACAACCAATTTCATAGGAATTAATGTATTTAGATCAGACTCTATTTTTCTTTTCCAATCTTTAGTACCTACGTAATCATTTTTAACAAGTTTTCTTTATTCATTAAAATATTTTTACATTGTATTCATTGTTGAACCCTCCCTCGCGACATCGTTTTCTTCATAAAGTTGTTGAACGTTCTCGAGAGGGATGAGCATCGATGGTGCATTCGATTTTCCTTAGTAGAGTTGATTTACATGTCATTTTTCTCCTACCTCAAACCCGGATTTGAATCTCGTTTGTGTCATTTTTCTCCTACCTCAAATCCGGGTTTGAATCTCGTTTGTGTCATTTTTCTTAGTTGTTAACTTTTAGTTTCAAATTTATTATGTTTCTAAAAAAAAAATTTGCAATAAAAAAGTTGAACGTTGTAGCTCATATATGAAAAGTAAATAACTAGAGAGTATAGTAAATGAAGTTTAAGAACCTGATTCATAATTTTCACCAAAATAGAAGGACCAAATATGTAATTTACTCTAAAATTAATTAATAATAAATTAAAAAAAAAGAAATGAAGAAGGCCGTAGATATTTGGAGCCCAAACATTCAATACGTACGGTACGGAAGCGAAGACGGCCGTAGATATTTGGAGATAGAATCCAGTCGAAGATCCAAATCCAATTATAGAGTATTGGTCAATATTCTATTCTCCCTCTTCCGATCAGCCATGGATTCCCCCAGAGGTCTTCCAATCCAACCAAGCATTTGGAAGTATCTCCTTCCTCTATTATTATTATTATTATTAATCCGACTTCACAAATATGAACTCCATCAATGTCGAGATTAGTTATTAGCAACTTCATTTTGCAATCAACAAAAGAAAGACTCCTTTGATTTCAGATGAAGGTAGTATTATGTTCTATGTTTTCATTTAAATTTGTTTGATATATTCATGTATGTTAATAATGTTATGTATTCTTCAGAACCTAACGTCATCTTCCATGCCTCAACTCTCTCATCTTTCAGCAATGCTGCCATTTTCGATTTCCTCTTCGCTCATTTTTTCGATAAAATTGGTGGTTCGTTTTTTTTCTTCAGGATATTGATTAAATTATGTTTTGGGATTCCAGATTTGATTATGATTTGATAATCTGATGCAAATTCTGCGGCAGCAGCAGCAGGATAATTGTCACATTCACACACACACACACGCACATATAGATGAAGGATGGTCTGAGAATAGGAGTTAAGGTGAGAAGTGTAAGAAAATATTTGGACCTCAAGTTTAATCTCAAACCAATGCATGAATTGTACTTTAGAAGGGAATTGATTTGTTGCTTCTTATTAGTGTTGATCTAGTGGAACATCCAAGAGTGGAGATCCCTTTGTTTATATATATATGTATGTATATATATATATTAGAGTCAGGTTCATACGAGAATCTTAACGAAAAAGGGAACACAAAAACGTCTGAATCACATGATTTTATACTAAAATCACGAATAAAATCACATATGATTCACATGACTTTGGCCCTTTTCTAAATACATTAATTCCTACGAAATTTTCAATATGAAATTATGATTTTTCCATAAATTACATATTTGGTTCTTATGTTTTGGTGAAAATTATGAATTCTAAACTTCATTTACTATACTAACGCTAATCATGATGTGCGATTCGTTACAGATTGGATTCTCTGTCAAACGTCATAAAAGAATCGGCTAAGTACCCCCGTATGCCTCTCATGGAAGGGCATTTTTGTCGTTTCTTGTTCTCTTATTTGGACCCTGTTCTCGTCTGATCCTACATCTATAATATTATAATGTCATATATATACACTACTCTTTTGACTATTAGAATATATTTTTTCAAATTTTGCAGAAATTATGGTTTGTACATGATTAAGATCATAAACTTGAGGGCATTACGCCATTTTTACACCATATGCTACTCTTACTTGGAAGTTGGAACATTTACAGAAGTGGAGAACTGGGTGATCAATGATATACATTGACAACAAAGACAATATTTGGATAGAGCATGCGATTATGTAGTGATTGCCAATTCTGCTTCATGTAAATCGTTCTATTATGTCGCTCGGAAACAACAATATGGTGGTCATCTCTCATAATCTTCCAAAGCAAGTGCCTGCTCAAGAGGTGTTTGTATGTATTAACAGGTGATGGTGGTAGTTGGTGATCTGGAGGATCGGCATATCTAAATTGAAAACTTCTCCATGCCTGCTTTAATCACATGCATTTAAGTCATGTATAGTTGCTGAATGCTCATTTTATTGTTGTTTAGCTCGACATGATTAGACAAGATCCAAACTTTCTGTGTGGAAAGGAATACCCTAGGGTTGTGGTTGCTTGCTTCCTCAGATCTGTCTTCTGATCGAATGATCGTGTAATATGCCTATGCATATGTATGATTGTGACTAACATACTTCATAGGACATCTTTGTTATCATTATGATAAATCATACCAAAGGATGATGATATGCAAGTAGCTCTAGGCAATTGTTGGCAGTGAAGGGAATGCAATGATTGTGAAGTGAGGGAATGGATTGAGCTGGGCAGTGCGCCCATCTGTGTCCATTGCTGCTCCTTTTAAGAGTTCTTGCTTTCACTCCTAAGTTGGGTTCTTCTATATCATGGGAAATGAATCCAGCAGCCTGGCATGATCAGTCCTTCATATCCATGTGGACTAGCAGGTGCTCATTTAGACCGTTATTTTGACATTTTATAATGAATATGAGATCGGACGTTTTTTCCCATAAGACGCAATAAACTAAATGGTGCCATGATCCACAGTAGGAGAAGAGATTATATAAACTGATAATTGTACGCAAGGTTGAATGGGACTTATCTTGATGCAGCTCCCAGTGTCATAACCTTTGCCTTCCCTAATGCTGTGTTGGCCTTCCTAACCTAGCTTTCCCATTGTACCTCACCATGCCCACCATGCTGATGTTATTAGGCAAAGTATAAGTTATCATGCATCTCTAGTATTGCTGGTGAAGAAAAATGTCAATACCTGGAGAATAGAGAATTTGCATCAATCATCTGGCACTTGGTGCCATTACCATTAAAGAGAATTTCCCCATCCCATGTTGAGGAATTGCTTGATGAGTTACATGGTAGCAGGACTGGTCTTTCTTGTTCATCAGATATTGAAAGATTTGCATAGAGCTGGGAAGGGGTTTTGATCCTTCGTCACCCAATCAGCTTAGTGATTCATTCATAATAGTCATTTTGCCTGGGGACAAGCTGCATTTGTGCCTTCTTTCCCTAATTTCCATTGTAAGGGAATCAATCAGAGAAGGCATCAAGCAATTCCTCAATCCGGTGAAGTCTCTTTTTCTTGTCACAGAAGCTTGATTATTATTTCTTGCTTCAAGGTCCTTGTTACTAAATCTGTTCTGCCAAAATAGTAACGGACTTACCTTATAAACTTATGATGAACAATTTGATGATCGAGTAAATTATGTGATTATAAGTTCATTTAATAACAGAACCAAAGGATTGTAGGATCCTTGTTTAGCCACTTTGTTTTAGGGCATATTGCTATTAGAGAAAAGTTCAGGTAACTTGGTCTAGATCTGCTGAAGAAAATAGAAAATCAGGAGCCTTTGGAAATCTTGTCAATCAATTAGTCACAGTCCAAGTCAAACTTTTCTGTATATTCAAGTGACACAGAGTTGTGCACTGAAGTCTCCTATTCGACAATATTCTGATTCAACAACAAAACTTCATGAGGCAGAATGGGAGTGTATACCTCTAGATGACTGAAGAACCAACTGGTGTATTTCGATTAAATGAGTCATTTTACAATCTCTTTTTCCTTTGGTTTGTAAGAGCTAATCTTCGGAAGGTGAAGAAGCTTGGATACATTATCAGCTTCATAAAGTCTGCATGGGTTATTGACCTATGGCATGTGAAGGCACTCCGAACAACCTTGCATGAACTACCAACTGTGAATTTTGGTATCTCCAGAAGTTAATGCCCACTTTGCCTCTGCTCCCTGAAAGTACCGTAATTCTAACTGTTTTTACATTTTTGAGTTTGATGCTTATGCAATGCAAAGGGTAAAACACTGCATTTTTTTCAGGTACATTTGGTACTGTAACATGTGGCATCTCATTGTTTCCTCTCCTCTACAGGTGGTAAGCCAGTGACTAGTGGGTTCACATGATGAAACTGAGATGCTATCATCATTTCTTGCACATTGAATGTGGTAAAGTATTTACAACAATGGGGTAAAATGCTGAAAGTTCACATTATTCTATAGAAAAGAGGGCCATGCACGAGATAATTGATGCTTGATATTATTCTTATTATTATGATATGTAATGAATATGCATAAAATGTGTTAATCCTACAACTTTTTGAACATCAGTGCATTTCTTTCATGAAGCTGCTGCTGGTGGGTGGTTACAAAATATGGAGATCTTGCTAAGAACTTCGCCAGTAAACAATTTTGATGTTACTGGATTCTGAAATCATTTTTAGACCATTAGCATAAATAAATACCGATCTGTCATAAACATGAGTAAGCATTGTTGATTTGCTACTGCCTTGTATTTTTGTAATCGCCATAGTGAAGTGGAGTTATATATTCATACCATTGATAGGTAGTATATTGGAAGTGTGCAGACATTGTAACTTGTTAATTTTCACTTGTTAATGAAAGAAAAGTAGCTAGATAACTTTATCAAGAAAACAAAAGTAGCTAGATAAAGGAGGTTATGTACAATTTCTGTTACGAACCTCGAAAAAAATGTTGGATAGCTGTTATCTATTGATGATTACCTTGTGGTGTACTTCCCTTTTTAGTCTTTGTTGGCCTGCTTTAGTTTTTTCTTGGGCAACTAGAGTGTCGACCATTGATTCTCAATTTCTCATAAAGCATGTAATGATCACTGGGCACAAACTTATAATTGCCATGTGCTAGGATTAAGGTAAATTAGATCATGTGATCTCAGTTCATTGAAAGTGGGGCACATGACATCGTAGCTAGGTTTTTTTTCTTCTTCTTCTTTGGTTTCTGATTCTAATAATAGTTAAACACGATAGTCTAGGTGACAACATAATAACATAACTAAACTGATTAGGGAGGAGATGTTCTAACTAAATAGATTTTGTATGCTTATAATTTCTTGAACTTCAGGAGGTTCTCATTTTAGTTTGTTATCATCATCTTGTAGATCGAAGGTTGGCTGTTCCGTTTTCATTGATAATCTTAATCTTTGATGGAAGTATAAGCTAGTGCATATGCTTTGAAGTTGTTCTGTTATCCTCAATTGGTACTTGATCATGTGAGCTGAATTGCTGAACGGGGTGTGTATGTTGTGATTCTCTATTATGTGTAAGAAGCAAGTACAAGCTTCTACACTGGAAATAGCTCAGCTCCTGTCTGCCTTTTTTTGTGAAACATTTTGACTGACATTAGTTATCATTTGGTTTATCATAATGACGAGTGATATTTTCTTGATATTGGTTATAAGCAGCTTGGTTACACGGAGACCTTTTGGAGTTACATTGATTGGTTACTAGTTTAAGTAGTGATTTCTAACGTAAAAAATTAGGGTATTGTTGCCTTTTTCATTTCATAACAGATATGAAGCTGTTTTAGAGTGGGGTGGGACATTGGAGTACTCAATCTTGAAAACTTGGAGGCCCTTTAAAGAACACCTTTAAGAGTCTATGTCCCTTACTACTAAAGACAGTGTTACTAACGAGTTATATGATTGTACCAAATCTGAAATTCTCACAAGTGTTTACAGATTAGATGTGCTTTTTTTAACAAAGACCATTTTGAATATAAATTGCAAATTAGAAGTGATGTTTCTTAGAATACAATGACTTATGAACATCAGTAGTGATTTCTCAAGAAATTAGCTAGTAGAGAACTTTTGCAGACAAATTCGAAACTAAATATGCACTTTTTTTGTTTGCATCAGACATTGGGTGCAAACTTATACCTGTCAAGTAAAGTTTACGCTTATGCCTTACATATAAATTCATATAATTGTTTGTTAAGGCTTTACTCAACTGTTTGACCAACCTGGTGTAGCCTACATGTATAGGCCTATAGGGTAGTTTTAAGTTTTAAAGACTTACAAGATAGGAAATTAAGAAATGTGGTTAGTCTTACTCCTGAATAAGGATTCTAGTCATTTGATGCAAATCAACTTTTCTTCTTAATGATAATCCAAAAGAGTGTTCCAAAAATAGGTTCAACAATCCCTCTAGCTTCCTTAGTGTATTTACAAAAAAAATCATCCTTTGATGTTCATGGTTAATTAGGCATTGACATACAAATTAATTGACGAGTTTTATCCATTTGACTGGTCGTTGTGCTAGCTGATGTATTTAGACTTTATATTCTGTGATAACATACTCTTTCCATTTGTAAAACTCATGTTCTTCAAATTCTTGAAGTTTTGTTTGCCAAGATGCTGAGATTTATATCTTGGCATATGGAAAGACTTGCTCAACGCTTTACGTTTGTATAGAGGGTTGGAAAATATTGTTAGAACATATTAAGATGGCTTATGATTTTAGAAGGTCATCATTGCTATATATATTCTCAGAGTCCTAATCTTGATATTTCTATCATTGCAGCTGTAGCAGTTTAATATTCTTACCCAAACAATCAACAAATTTGCAGGTTTTTGGTAATAATAATGCTTTCGGATTATATTCCTGTAACTTACCTATTCACCACTATAAGCAGCAGTTAACAGAAATACACTGCCCAATTTTCTGCAG